TCCTGGGAGACCCAGTCACAACTTACCCACGGCAGCGAGTGAGAACTCCTGCTTCTGACTTCCTGAGAATGATGGAAATATGGATCCTGGCAGCCCCTCCCAGATTTTATCTTGCCTGAACTCAGCAAGATAGTGATCACATGTTCAGCTGGAAATGGAGCTTCAAGAAATGGAAGCCGAGGAAGGGACACAGCACACCGGCCCCAGTGCTACCCCAAGCCCTCCGCTTGCTCAAAGGAACCCCCAGCCTCTGGTGTTGGCTGCACACACACCCCTCGTGACCTCCCAGCCTCTTTGGAGGCTCCATTTTGGGGCCTGACCTGACCTGGCCTGGTTCCTTGTCTCCTGCTTGGCATATTTACCAAGTTTTCCATATCTTAAAATCTACTTCTGGGCTTCCCTGGCGGCGCAGTGGTTGAGAGTCCGCCTGCTGTTGCAGGGGACGTGGGTTCGTGCCCCGGTCCGGGAGGATTCCACATGCCGCGGAGCGGCTGGGGCCGTGAGCCGTGGCCGCTGAGCCTGCGCGTCCGGAGCCTGTGCTCCACAACGGGAGAGGCCGCAACAGAGAAAGGACCACGTACCGCAAAAAAAAAAAAAAAAATCTAGTTCTGCTGCAAATAGCTGGGCTCTCTGGCTTAAGCCCAAGAAAGCCTCTCACCCACCCACACAGCTGCTCAGTGACCTACATGCACCCGAGTTTCAGATGCCGGAGAGGAAGGAGTTAGTTGGAAGCCTGTGTTAATCAGTCTCTCCCGGGACTTTCCTGGTGGTCTAGTGGGTAAGACTCTGCGCTCCTAACGCAGGGGGCCCAGATTCGATCCCTGGTTGGGGAACTAGATCCCCCATGCATGCTGCAACTGAAAAGACCACATGCCGCAACTGAGAAGTCCCTATGCTGCAACTAAGACCTGGGGCAACCAAAATAAATAAATTTTTTTAAAAGAATCTTAAAAAAAAATCAGTCTCTCCCAATGCAACAGAGGTGAAGAGCCAAGGGCATTTAGCCCTTTTTCGTTGTTCACATCTCAATTAAAGTAGTTGCCACTTTCATAAATAGTGATAATATTTCCTGAGGGCTTCTCAGTAGCGTGGCATTATATTAAATCCACCCAGGACTTTTCGCAGCATAGAGGATGTGACATTTCTGGTCTCGATGAGCATATAATAAAGAGCAAAACATGGCAATTAACAGCAACTATTTATGGAGTGCAGATAGAGGCAGAAGGGCGTATGTGCGTAAGAGAAATTAATTCAATGCTTGCAAAAGGAAGACAATTATATCAGGAAAACGTGCCTACTTGGTGTAAAAAGGCCCCTGCGGTTCTCGGCACTGAGCCACGCTCACCCTGCAAGCCTTGGTGCTTCGTATATTTATGTCTTTCGTTACCTTCATGATTGCAGGGAGCCAGTCCGCTGCCTGCCATCATTCTCCCCTTTATAGAATAGCCATGGGCGGTACAGTGTCGCTCAAGGTCATGGGCTCAAGACAGGGCTGGGTCTGGAGGGAGACGGTCATCGCCCCCATAGCTGCTTGGCAGCGTTTGTGAGGTTAATTAGCGGCTTCAGCTGATCACCTGCAGCACAGGTGTCCAGCTTTATCGGCACGACGCCTGGCTTCCTCGTCCCCAACCTCAAAGGAAAACGCCTGAGCTGGCTGGACCTCAGGACTCTTAAGTTCTATTACTTTTGAAGCACCATGAAAGAACACGGAAAAGAAGCTTAAACTCATTCTAATGACAATAACCCACCTATAACCATCACAATAACAGCAGGAACTCTGCTCTGTACTTTGAAAGCAGGCCATCGGGCGAGGCCTCTTGGAAACACTGAGAAATGCTTCTGCTGTTGTGTTCACCTCTCTTCCCTTCACTCAGATAATTCCTCTTGCCCCAGATGGAAGCCCCAGCTTGCTTGAAGCTCCCTGAAACTTCTTCCTCCCCTCCCCTCCTTTTCACCCTCCTGGAAGGGACACATTAAATTACCACAGCCTTTCTTTCATCTGCAAGCTTGACCACCACTGAGGGAAGCAGCCCTAAGGCTGGGGTGGAGAAAGGCGTGATCCATGCCATAACTTTCTGGGCTTCACTTTACTGACTGTCCCCACCCAGTCCCAACCTAAAAGGATGGAGAAGGAGAGAGGGGTAAAGGCAGGATCCTACGTGTGGCAGTTTGAAAACGTGGCCCCCAGTTTTCTGATACTCCTTCTATCACTAGGTGGCATCTCTGTCCTCTACTCTCGAACTTGAGCCGGCAACGATTTAACCAATAGAATACAGTGGATGCAAGATAATCACTGTGTCAGTTTGGGGCCCAGGCCTTAAGAAACTGGTAACTTCCACTTCTTGTCTCTTGGGAACCAGCCAGCAGACTGGTTGAGAAAGGCCAAGCTGATGGTAGAGAGGCCCGTGGGGACAGGAACCAAGCCCCCAAGCTCTCAACCAACAGCCAACGCCAACTCTCCAGCTATGTGCGAAAGCCACCTTGTAAGTGGATCCTCAGCCCCCTGACGTGCCCCAGCTGATACCTCGTGTAGCCGAGATGAGGCTTCTCCCATGCCCTCATTCCCGTCCAAATTGCAGACCTGATCTGCCGCATCAGTTTTTCAGACAGCAGTAAAGAACTGGAGCTCCAGGGTTCCAGCCTTCCTTGGGGGAGCCCAGGGAGGGATGCTGACCCTCCCCAAGCCCTCCCCAAGTGGCCCCCGGGTCTGCCTCTCACACGAGGATTAGGGGTCTGTGAAATGGGGTCCCAACTGCTAGCCCAGCACTGAACACCCTTCACACACTTTCCAACCCTCTCTCCCCTACAAGCCCCGCGGCATGTAGGGGACACATGTATCCTCTGAGCTTGGGAACCTACCCATTACTCAAGATCCTTAGCAAAGGTCCTTCTAACGGTAAAAATAAATGCGGATCAAGAACTCAACACCTGGGCTTCCCTGGTGGTGCAGTGGTTAAGAATCCGCCTGCCAATGCAGGGGACACGGGTTCAAGCCCTGGTCTGGGAAGATCCCATATGACGCGGAGCAACTAAGCCCGCGAGCCACAACTACTGAGCCCGCGAGCCACAGCTACTGAAGCCCGCGCACCTAGAGCCCGTGCTCCGCAACGAGAGAAGCCACCGCAATGAGAAGCCTGTGCACCGTAACCAAGAGTAGGCCCCACTCACCACAACTAGAGAAAGCCTTCGTGCAGCAAAGAAGACCCAACGCAGACAAAAATAAATAAAATAAATTAAAAAACAAAAAAACTCGTCACCTTGTCCAGCAGGCCCAAGTCTTTACCCCCTGCTGGAGTGGGGCCTTTTGTGGACTCCCTTCCACAGGTCTGCAGAGTGCTGCGCGCAGGTGGATCCCAGAAAGGGGGGGCGGATGGGGGGGGCAGGTCTAGGAGGGGTGGGGCCTGGGAGGGCGGAGCCTGGGAGGAAGCCCAAGGGAGGTCTCAGGAGCCAAGGGGGGACCCAAGGGGAGAAGGAGATAGGCGTGATCAGTATCAAACAAAAACTAAACATAAACTAAATCAGGGCGGATTTGAGTAAATAGGAGGGAGGAAGTCGAGGCCGTGCTCACAGCCAAATCCATCCCGCTTGTTGAGAAGGGGAAGCAAGCAATGGGCAATATGTAGCTAAAGGGGCAGTGGAGGGCCGATAGGGACCCCTTGTTTCTAGCGTGGTTTGGTTTTGAAGAGGGAAATTGCTAAGCAAGTTTATTCAAGAGAGCAGACCAGGGGAAGAGTTGACTGCTAAGGCCTGGCTGCTCCCTGGGGAGGTGCAAGGGGGTGGTACCAGAACTCAAAATGTAGGGGAAGCCCATCGGCGGTGCCGGGGAGCAACGCGGAGATGCTGGGGCCCGAGGGCCTAACCAAGGGGGAAGGGCGTGCACGAGCCCACTCGGCTCTTTCCGTACAGGAGGGGCTGAGGGCCAGGAGCTGGAAGGGTGGAGTCCGGCGCCGGCCTTGACGTTGCGTTTGCACGCTCTGACGCCGATGGTCTTTTACAGACCAATAAAAATAGCATTTTCCAAGTAAAAACATAATTTCTAAATATGCTTTTATTCCTTCTTTATAGAAGGGGGAGAAAACCGCGACTGTCCATACTGAAAATGGCTTTGGGAGGAGGGTTGGCCTCACTCTTCTTCGGAGTCACCTCTGCATGTTGCCCACTTCGGACCCGCCATCCCGGCTCCTCGAGCGCCACCCAGTGGCCTCAGGGAGGAACATCCCGCGAGCTCAGCGCGGCTCGGGCTAAAACAGCCCTTTCCGAAGGCGTTTTTCCTGCCAAAGAAAACCGCCGTGTGTCACAACTACTGGAAAAGCAATCCTGAGAAACAAAGCCCTGATTTTTTTTATAGCAGCAGTGGAAACCGGACCCCACTTCCTTCCTCCAGGATTAGGGCCTCATTGATGCTGGTGGAATCGGTCATTTTGTTTCGCCATCCGTACTCAGAGAGTGAGAGAGCAGAATTACTTTCGCTCTCCCAGAGATCTTATCAAAGGTTTTTCTGTTCGGATTACCAAACTGTTACAAAGAACTCTCTTATAGATGTTTCTTTGACTTTTCTTTTTTTAAGGTTTTGTTTTTTAATAATATTGAGCCAGAATTTCCCTTCCCTGCGTGGTTGACAGCAAGTGGGTTTGGGGGCGTGTAGTGGGTGACACTTGAGTGTCTTTCTGTGCCCTCCTGTAGGGGAAACAGCGTCCCTGTTCTCCACCAAGGCACCTTGACTTCTAGCTGGGGTGACCAAGTGGATCTATACAGTGAGTGCTATGAAATGAATTCAACTTCTCATAAAGGAATTCAGGAGAAACCACTTCAAAATAAAGGTTTAGCCAAATTCAAAACTGAAAAGTCCATAACCAATTATTATGCAAAGTAGGGTGGAGGGGGCAGTCCCTTCCAGGTGGTTCCCAGCACCACCTGAATAGCTGTGAGTAATTGAGTTATTTACCCCTTTAAGGCTTGATGTCCCCTGCAAAATGGTTATGACAGTAATACCAACTTCGTAGGATTATTGTGAGTTTTAATGAGATAATATATAGCTAATGGTTATGAATTTTACTCTAAAACGAGTAGCAAAAATTTAAAAAATGCCACATTTTGAAGTTTCTAAGTCATATTAAGTCAACTTGCCTGTGTGATGAGAAATTCAATCTCAGTCATGTTTGGGTCTCCTCCCATCTCTAGGGTCACACGAGAACTGCTGGCGTTATCTGTAGTGTCCAGAAAACCAAAGTTGGGCCTCCAGCCCTTGTTGACTCACGTGGCATTCCCGCACTGAGATGGAGCCTGGCACAAAGTAGTTGCTCAATAAATATCATTGTAATAAGTCTAAAACTCAGTCTATAAAATGAAAATCAAGAGGCTACAGTTAATCTGATTGAAATCATCTAGACTCTGATGAATACTTTTTTCGTGTCCATGGTTCAGGAATAGGTCTGGAAACTTCTTCCCTGGTGCCCTAAAGCAGAGATCCCGGAGAGCCTTCCCAAGATGGTTTAGTTGGGAGATTTCCTGATCCCTTAATGGTCTAGCTCATAGTTGACCCCTGTGCCCAGAACCGTAACAAATTTTGAATTTTGTACATTCGATGTGCAAAAGACAAATTGGACCACTGAACTCAACAAAAATAACTACTTCAGTCAAAGGTCTAGTGACCTTGGGATATCTTTAGCAGATGCATATGACCCAGCTACTGAGCCTCAGGAATGCAAGGGACTAGCTCACCCGGTGCTCCCAGTTTAAGGACGCTGCCTACCTCGGTCTCTCCAACACAAAAAAACTTCCATCACTACGAAAGTCTGGCCTTCCTCACATCGTCCTCACTTCATCACGGGCTCGGTCAAGCCCAGGAAGGCAAAAGTCGGTGAGAGACCCACCCTTTTCCTGTTAGACTCCTGGAAAGACCCCTGTGCTGTTACCACACTCTGAATACATCCCGGTGTCTGGTCTATCAATCCCATTTCCTATTTTGTTTCTGTTCTTTGGCTTTAATTCAGGAGCCTCTGAGCACATCTTACTGAGATCACACTCTGACTTAGTAAAATAGTGCCCACTGTGTTGCTGGTTTACTTCATTGCGCTCAAGTGAGCTCAGGTAGGGGGCTTCACGTGCAGACCTTCACAGCGATGGGGGAAGAGCCTCGAGGAGATGGAAGGACGGGGCTCCGGGAGGCACCGGGCTGGTGGGAGGTTTGGAACAGGGCGGTGCTTTGTGGGTCTGACTCTAGTGCCCACCGAGACGTGACTCAGCCACATTCCCCATCTCTGCTTCTGCTTGGGGGGCTTCTCCCTTCTTCTCCTGCTACCAGGCAGCCCCTGCACTCTGATCTGCACGCCGTTTTCTATGCCATAAATTCAGCTCCATGATCACGTGTTCTGCCTGTTTTGAAACTTCAGCCCACTAGTGGTCCAGCGTGGCCTTCCTACCTCACAACCTCCCCTTGTGCAGTCTCTCAGCTTCAGATTCTACTGATAGCAGCCTACCTCGCATATTTCAGAAAGGGGATGTGATGGGCATTGGCAGGGCCTTCTGTGTCAGGCTCCCCTCCCAGGCCAATGGTTAGCCTATCATACGGTGCTGAATAAGACCACCATGTGCGAGGACTAGCCTGGGTCTGCATAGGTAGAGCTGTGTTTTGGAAGAGAACAGTGAGCACGGGGAATGCTGTGATTGACAAGTCTAGGACAGCAGCCAGGGACGTGGTACCATGTGATCTGCCCCTTTCCTCTGCCTGTCTGCATTCGGTTATGTTCATACGTTCATCTGGTCTACTCAGGATCATCAGTGACCTCCCGACTGTTAAACCCAATGGTCAGTGCTCAGGCCTCATTCTCCTTGACCCACCAGCAGCATCAGACCCAGTTCTTTCTGTCTTCCTTGAAGGTTGTCTTCCCTTGGCTTCCGGGACACCGCATTTGCCTACTTTCACCTCTACTCCTTTCTCAGTTCCCTTTGCTGTGCGCCTCTCTAAGCTTCAGGGAAGGTGGAATCTCAGAGAAGCAGGTCATTCTTCACGGAGGTCCAGGGAGGGGGGCTCCTAGGCACGGCTTGCTGGCCTGGAATTTTTAGGTCTAATCACAAACCTGTGGGACCACCTGTCAAAAGGCAATTATTTCTGTGTCAGTATTATCCCAGCCACATTATAATCTGATTTTATTTTATTTTGCGGTACACGGGCCTCTCACTGTTGTGGCCTCTCCCGTTGCAGAGCACAGGCTCCGGACGCGCAGGCTCAGCGGCCATGGCTCACGGGCCCAGCCGCTCCGCGGCATGTGGGATCTTCCCGGACCGGGGCACGAACCCGTGTCCCCTGCATCGGCAAGCGGACTCTCAACCACTGCGCCACCAGGGAAGCCCTATTCCTGTTTTAAAATTAAGAAAACAGGGACTTCCCTGGCATCCAGTGGTTAAGACTTCGCCTTCCACTGCAGGGGGTGTGGGTTCAATCCCTGGTCGGGGAGCTAAATTCCCACATGCCTCAGGGCCAAAAAAACAAAACATAAAACAGAAGCAGTATTGTAACAAATTCAATAAACACTTAAAAAAAAAAAAAAGGTCCACATCAAGAAAATCTTAAAAAAAAAAAAATACTTGCAGAGGTTAAACAATTTGCCCATGGCCGCAGTGGTGATATATAATGGAGCCGGAATTCAACCCCAGGAATCTCTGACTCCCAAACGGTTGTTCTTAACCACTAAGTTAGGCGATGTTCTGTCCTCTCCTTTGGCTCCCTCCATCCCTCCAGGAATGTAACTTTCTACTTCCTCTCCTGCCCACAGTTTCAAGGCAATCACACATTCATGCATTGGAGCCCTGGGCACAATGAAACACACGTTTCAATGCTTCCTGTTCTAGTTTTCAAATTGCCCAATAATTAAGTGGATTACTGCTGTCATGTCTTAGTGCCTGGACTGAACAAGGGTTGGTTCAGTTCCTATTTCTTTTGCAGCCACTACACCTTGTGAGTTAATCAAAATTTATTACACTTCACCAAGGAGCAATATGTGACACAGGACAGCGTCCTAGACCACAAGTCAACAGACTGACTATTTTCCTTGTTTCTCATTCTTGCTTTTCCATTAACCAGCTGTTTGACCTTGGGCAATCACTGAACCACTCTGACCCTCAGTTGCCTCATCTATAAAATACACACAGTCTTAAGGTCCCCTTCCAGTGCGAACTGTCCATGATTCTGAAGAGTGAGGATCAAGTTTATTATTTTATGGGAACTTGAACTGTGCTTCTTCAAGTACCAACTCTTGTCTGAGCTCTACCTGTATCTCACTCCTAGATTTAAATCTAGGGCTAAGCATAAGCGAAACTTTCACAAAAGGATGGGAAAGTACAGATAATAATAACTTCATCTTATTGGTATTTGGAGGAACATGACTAAAAAGATGGAATTGTTTTCAGGAAGGATCTATATAATATTCTGTAAGGAAATATAGTAATTGTTATAAAAAGATTTTATCACGTTGGCTAAGATGTGGAGGAAAGGAAGTCCTCTGATAAGAGGGCTTCCCACAGGAGAATTATCTTGTGCCATTTGAAACTCATTACTATCATCCTTTCTTTAAAATCTTTTCTGGCATTTGGCGATCTTACTGTGCATATGGCTGTGACTCCCACTTTTTTGAGTGTAAATTCTTTATTTACTGATTTTGTTATTTCTCTTACATGATATTGACCCTGCTCAGATGTTTTATTATTCTTAGGGGGGATGCATGACTCAGACCTGTACAATCAGAATATTTCATATCCCTGGCTACACTGTTTATTTGAGGGATAAATACGTGACTCAACAGAACCAATGGATTCCCAACAGAACCTCAGGACAATGACAGAAACTATCAGGAAAGATAAGCTCCCTTTTCAAAGCAGTTGCTGAGATATGGAGTATGTATATGCTATGGGCTGCTGGAACCACCTTGCCATTATGTAAGAAGAGCTTATCTGAGATTGAGGCGAACGCAGAGAAAGCAAAGTCTAGAGATGCAGAGAAACAGGATTCCCGATTATATTGTTTGAGTACCTGGATCCCCAAAGTCTACTCCCTGGATTATCAGTAATATAGCCAATAAATTCCCTTTCTTTTTTATTTTTAAGCAGAAGCCATTTAAAATCATAAGTTGTTTGTCGCTTGCAACTGAAATTAATCAACCTAGAATTTGTGAACCTGTACAGAAAGCCCATGGTTCCGTACTTCTTCACATCAGTAGATGCCCAAGGGGTCTTTCTAAAATTGAGCCTACTGCTTGCCACAGGAAAAGAAGGTAGAGTGTTATCATATCTTATCTGACTTTCATTTTATATGCTGATTGTTAGACACTAACCCCCATGAAAGATGTAACTTCACAATCCTATTTAATTCTCACAGCAGCAAGCACATTTATTAACATTTATTAATGTTAAGGCTTAATGTAAAAACAAAATGGCACAAATCCTGCAGGTAAGTAGGGACCATGGTGGCTGGGAGCACTTCAGCATTCTTCTCTTTCTCTCTCCTTGTGGAACTTTTTGGATCCCTCTAAGGTCTGTGAGAGACAAGGGGTGTGTGTGTGTGTGTGTGTGTTGGGGGAGGAGGAGGGAGTTGTATAGTTAATGACTAGAGCTATAAAAGGCCTTCTCTAAGTTCATTTCTTCTCTTATAAAGGCCAACCCACGCTGGGCACTAGTGGGCTGTCTTCTCCCAAAGGTCCCTGCAGAGCCAACACGTCCTCCTCCCTGCTCAGCCCCACCCTCATTGGTTTTCAAACGTTCCCTTCTCACCTTTTCTCTCTGAATTCTCCCTCCCTCCAGTCTGAGAATTTGTCTGCATATGGTGAGAAGGCTTTTTTTTTTTTTCCTAGTAGAATATATGCTATCATTCTTAACTTTGTGGTCCGTGGTCTATTCCCCGAATCTTCATATGCCAAGTCAACCTTTTAAGAAAGAAAAGAAAAAAAAAAAAGACATGCATCTTTTCAGTAAAGCAGCTGGCTTTTGCAAATAACAAATACTCCAGCTTTCAGACCGTAATGTTTTTATTATAACTTTAACAATTAATTTTGAAATCCAGGCTCTATTTGCACCCCCTTCAAGGCAGTGAAGCCCATGGGTGGAAGGCTACAGGGCAAAAAGAAAAACAGTGAGAAAATTCTTGGATTAAAATGTACAAATATCATCTAGGTACGTAATCTTAGATTCTTTTACGTGCGACCTCCCCCTTCTCTCGCCAAAGAATTCATGAAAGGAAAAACCATGAAGTTTCTCCAGTCTTTTAAAGTGCCAGGTTTAGGACATGGAAGCAATCTAAGGGTCCATCGACAGATGAATGAATAAAGAAGATGTGGTACATATATACAATGGAATATTACTCAGCCATAAAAAGGAATGAAATTGAGTTATTTGTAGTGAGGTGGATGGACCTAGAGTCTGTCCTACAGAGTGAAGTAAGTCAGAAAGAGAAAAAAAAATACTGTATGCTAACACATATATATGGAATCTAAAAAAAAAGGTTTTGAAAAACCTAGGGGCAGGACAGGAATAAAGACACAGATGTAGAGAATGGACTTGAGGACACGGGGACGGGGAAGGGTAAGCTGGGACGAAGTGAGAGAGTGGCATGGACATATATACACTACCAAATGTAAAAGAGATAGCTAGTGGGAAGCAGCCACATAGCACAGGGAGATCAGCTCGGTGCTCTGTGACCACCTAGAGGGGTGGGATAGGGAGGGTGGGAGGGAGATGCAAGAGGGAGGGGATATGGGGATATTTGTATACATATAGCTGATTCACTTTGTTATACAGCAGAAACTAACACAACATTGTAAAGCAATTATACTTCAATAAAGATGTTAAAAAATAAATAAAGTGCCAGGTTTCCACTTCTTTTCACCCCTCTAAAGTTTCGGGGGAAAAGAGGAAAGAAGAGCAAAACTAGAAGCAAAATCGTAAGCTTAAAAAATTTCTGTGCCTGTTTTTATGCACTTTCATTGGGCACGACAGGAAAATGGGCTCTACTATTTTCACACAATAGTTGAATTTTGCTTGTTCCAGCATGTATATAAATTACCTGGCTTTTTGTTAATCCCATCTAAGTGACCATTCCTTTTTTACCTTGTTTGATTATTCTGATTTATTTTAAAATCACAATCCACATTTAGTGAGAGGAAAATTTCTTTTTATTTCGTAGTTTATCATTCTTGTCACTTATATAAGTGACAAGAATGATAAATTATAAGTATCACTTATTTTATTATTAAATTTTATTAATCATAAAATACCCAAATACCTAATATTGGAAACATAACAATAAGCAAGCCAGCAGCTATGCTTTAAGTCTGGACATTCTAAAATGGAAAAAATGCAAAGAAAAATATAGCTCGAAGAGGGGAAGTTTAGGGGCGGGGAGACAAATGCACTTTTCCAAGCCGCCTCCTGGGTATCCGTCCAGCTAGGGGTTACAGTTTAATTTAAGGAAATACGACGGAGACCGAAGGTACTGGCGCAGCGTTTATGTTACTGACCAAATATCCACCCTAGAGGAAGCAGTACTGCCCGGGTTGAACTGCGGAAACCAAACCCAAGTCTGCGGGGTCAGAAGTAGTTTCAAAGGCTGGGCTCCACATGGCAACATCGAACTGGATTAAACGTTATCATTTACCTTTATTATTAGTATAATACTTTTAAGCTAATATACACCTGCACATTCCTAAATGCCCCGAGACTGGACGGCCTCAGAATGCCTCGCTTGTCTACATTCGATTTTCTGCATAATCAGAAAAAATGGAGGCGAGCTTTGTCTACTTTGGCCCCGCTCGAAACCAGCGTCCTCGGGCCGAGGCGCCCAGACCTCGCGGCCGGATGGCGGCTCGAGTCCGCGGGGACGCGCAAGGCACGCGAGGACTCGGCCTGCCCCACCCGGCCGCCCCGGAGCCCGCTGTCCTCCGCCAACACCCGGAGCAGCGGGCCCGGCGCGGGAGCGCGTGGCGTCACAAAGCCCAGTCGGAACGCTGGGGCCGGCGCCGAAGCCGAGGGCGCCCGGGGCGAACCCACTAGCGGCCCTCCCTGGCGGAACGGCAGGCGCGCGAGCCCTTCATCTCGCCCCGCCTCCCCTACCCCCGCCACAAGGGCCGCAGGGCCGCGGCGGCTCGGGCGCCGCAAAGCGTCCTGGGAGAGTCGGCTCGCACCGGAAGGACGCGCGGGCGCTCGGCGGCAGCGAGGTTATAAAAGGGAAGGAGCCGGCGGCGGGCGGAAGTGGGCGGTTCAGCTGCTCCCGGCGCTGTTGTTGGTGTTTGCGCTTCTCGAGGGGCGTTCTGTGGTGGGCCGCCGGTGCAGGCCGCAGTGACAGGGCCGCTCGCCCCGCAACTCCTAGCCTCGGCGCAGCGTCCGATCGCGACTTCCGCGACCCGCAGGCCCAACATGGCGCAGGAGGTGTCGGAGTACCTGAGCCAGAACCCGCGGGTGGCCGCCTGGGTGGAGACGCTGCGCTCCGACGGCGAGACCGACAAACACTGGCGCCACCGCCGCGAGTTCCTGCTCCGCAACGCCGGGGACCTGGCCCCCGCCGGCGGCGCTGCCTCCGCTCACCCGGAGGAGGCCGCCGACGCCGAGAGCGGGACCCGCAGTCGGCAGCTGCAGCAGCTCATCTCCTTTTCCATGGCCTGGGCCAACCACGTCTTCCTCGGGTGCCGGTGAGTGAGCCGGCGTCCCTGAGCTGCTCTCGCGGTTTTGTCCGGAGCTTTCGGCGGAAGGGGAAGTGGTGGAAGCGCGGGAATCCGCGGGACAGGCTGCCCTCTAAGGGCGAGAAGGGCGTCTCTGCCATGGTTACCAGTCTGGAGGTGCCCCCGTTGGGTGGGGAGCTGGCGGTGGAGTTGTTTGTTGGCGATGAGCTCACAACGCTCTTGGGGGAGAGGGGCACTGAATCTAAATTAGGTTTGTAAGAAGGGATCCCGCCTCCCAGACCCCGGGCGTTTGTTTACGGCGTTCCAGGAAACAGAATGTTCCTGGCGGTTGATTCCGTTTCTTGATTACAACCAGGAAATGCAGTTCCTGTGGCCTGTTTTCGTACCCCAGAGGTGGCAGCTTAGCAAAAACACTAAAGTGTCTTTCCCTTCGTTTTTTCAGGTACCCTCAAAAAGTTATGGATAAAATACTTAGTATGGCTGAAGGCATCAAAGTGACAGATGCTCCAATCCATACAACAAGAGACGAACTGGTTGCCAAGGTGAAGAAAAGAGGGATATCGAGTAGCAATGGTTAGCAGATCATAGATGTGAACATACATAGGAGTTTAGAACTTAAATTTGATGTTATTAGGAATTATCGTTATTACTAAGTTTTTAACAAGTTAGAATTTATATAATGTTATTAATCAAATTGGAATGTTAAACCTAAATTATGTGTCTCTGTGTTTTAGGCTTTGAATTTGATAGTTTCCTTTGACCTCTGTGAGATTTTGAAGTGTGAAATGTTGTCTATGCTGTTGATTTTTTAATATTAGAAATTATTGAGGGGACTTCCCTGGCGGTCCAGTGATTAAGACACCGCGCTTCCACTGCAGGGGGCACGGGTTGGAGCCCTAGTCAGGGAACTAAGACCCACATGCCCTGCGGGGCGGCCAAAAAACAGGAAAAATATAACAAAAAAATTTTTTTAATGAAGAGATTATTGGTGTTATTCAGCGCTGTTTTAAGAAATTAATGAAGTTATTCCACACTTTTTAAAGGATCTACAAATCCTGAAATGTTTTCATCTTGTGCTTTTATTTTAATATGAGTATCTGTCTTGTAAATCTTCAGCTGATATGTATGAGGTAGGCTTAGTCATATACTTGTTTTCGTTTTTTTCAGAAGGGGTAGAAGAGCCAACAAAAAAACGAGCCATAGAAGGAAAAAACAGTTCTGCAGTTGAGCAAAAAGATCATGTGAAAATTCCTGCCAAAACAGAGCGTGCATCAGCTCCGCAGGAAAGTAGTTCAGCGTGTTCGGGATCAACTACCAAGTCAGAGAGTAGTGGGAACTCAGCGCGGAGCTCTGGCACCCTGAGTCAGAATAGCTCCACAAGTGATGGAGAGCGCTCTGTTTCCAGCCAAAGCAGCAGCATTCCCTCTCAGGTAACAGCGGTAGGGTGTGGAAAAGCTTCTGAACCAGAAGCTCCAGATAAACATGGTTCAGCATCGTTGGTTTCTTCGTTGTTGAAATCCAGTGTGAATAGTCATGTGACCCAGTCCGCTGATTCCAGACAGCAAAGTGGATCCCCGAAAAAGAGTGCTTTGGAAGGCTCTGCAGTCTCAGCCTCTCAGAGCACCTCAGAGATTGAGGTGCCCTTGTTGGGCTCCTCAGGAAGCTCAGAAATAGAGTTGCCACTGTTGTCTTCTAAACCTAGTTCAGAGACAGCTTCAAGCGGGTTAACTTCCAAAGCTAGTTCAGAGGCAAGTGTTTCATCATCAGTTTCTAAAAACAGTTCCTCATCAGGCACATCTTTACTAACCCCCAAGAGCACCACCTCAGCAAACACGATGCTGACTTCCAAAAGCACTTCGCAGGTAGCTGCATCACTGTTAGCTTCCAAGAACAGCTCCCAGACCAGCGGCTCTTTGGTTTCCAAAAGCACTTCCATAGCAAGTGTGTCCCAGCTGGCTTCTAAGAGTAGCTCTCAGAGCAGCACGTCACAGCTGCCTTCTAAAAGTACTGCGCAGGCGAGCGAGAGTTCTGTCAGATTCTCTTGTTGCAAGTTAACCAATGAAGATGTGAAACAGAAGCAGCCTTTTTTCAATAGACTGTACAAAACGGTGGCATGGAAGTTGGTGGCCGTTGGTGGCTTTAGTCCCAGCGTGAATCACGGAGAGCTCCTAAACGCAGCTGTCGAGGCTCTGAAAGCAACGCTGGATGTGGTTTTCGTCCCGCTAAAGGAACTGGCAGATCTGCCTCAAAACAAGAGCTCTCAAGAAAGTATTGTTTGTGAACTGAGATGTAAGTCTGTGTATTTGGGCACTGGCTGTGGAAAAAGCAAAGAAAACGCAAAAGCAGTTGCATCAAGAGAAGCCTTGAAGTTATTTCTCAAGAAAAAGGTGGTGGTAAAGATATGTAAAAGGAAATACAGAGGCAGTGAAATTGAGGACTTAGTACTCCTCGATGAAGAGTCAAGGCCTGTCAACTTGCCTCCAGCATTAAAACATCCTCAAGAATTACTGTAATGTCCAAAATGTCACTGTGTACAATATCTGGTATTTGAAGAGAAAAACTGGCTTACTTTTGTATAATATGAAACACAGGCTTTCACAAATTTTGTATTGCTTTTTTCCAGTTTTGCAGAAAATTTACATTCTAGTTCTCTTCACACAGTGGAAGTTGTAAATAATTTGTGGATGACAGTATACATTAAAAGGTTTATGCATTAGCGGCATACCAGTATGCTGTTTTATTTGCTGAAAAAAATACTGTCTTCTATTTTTAATGACACATTAGGTACGATGTGTAGTTCTGTAGTCTTAAAATTTTTGTACTACTTTGAATTTGGTGAAAATGTATTAAGTTGTCTACCATGCTTTTTTTTTTTCTAGCTGAATAAACCTTCACATCAAAGAAAAGGGGACCATAGTATTTGTCTGAAAGTCTGTGAAGCTTAGGGTTTTAAGAATGTTGCCTATAATGTTGAACATGTCTGTTAAAGAATAAAAGAGAAAATAGTTGCCTCAGACTATTTTTATGAGAAGCTGTAAGCATTTTTTAGATATAAAGCAGTGTTAAATACTTAAGGTTATTTTATTCTGAAGTTGTTTGAAATTCACCATGATTTTGACCTCTGCAGATTCTTTAAGTGGGTTAATTTATGTTTTGAGGTAAAGTACAATTTACACTTTTTCTTAAAGACGTAAATGTGGGTTTCTATATTAAGCATATTTTGTGACTACTACTATTAACAGATTGATTTGTTTAGATATTAAATGCTTTAAGCTATTTTACCTTTTCAAGAAGTTGTGGTTTTTTTTTTCTCCCCCCCCCCCCCCCCCGCCCCCCGTAGTCAGAACCAATTCCTGCGATAGGCTTCCTGCGAATTCCTGTCACCTGTCACTAGTCGTCGTAAATTGCAGCTAGGTAATTTTTCATAGCTGATAACACAGCTTTTTATGGGTAGACAAGTTAACAGTTTGCAAATCTAGAACTGGGTAGGTTTTTTGTTTACAAAACCTCGTAGAAGAACACTGGGCAGAATAAGAGAAGCCAAGCTCAGCTCTTTAATGAGCCTGTTGAGTTGAATTACATTTGTTGGTTAAGAAAGGAAATCCTGCTTCTGTGTCTTAGGTGATTCGGACTGTATTATTCTTTGTGGCCTTTTTCTGGCTTTCTAGTTGCTGCACTTTGAGCAGTGATGGTGATAATGTACTGAGAAAAACCAGGAAATGGCCTTGTGTGTGGCAGTTGTATTGGAGTAGGAAAATTGGACATAAGTAGTAAAATGTAAGTCATGAAGTTATTTCTATTTTATATTCTAGAAATAATAGGGGATACTTTATATACCTGAATTGAAATAATCAATTGTTTTTATTTCACTAGGTAACTTTTAAAAAAGTTTATTTTTGAGCATGTTAAATTGGATACCAAAGTTTAAAGTCCATATTATGTAAATGGGGTTGCCTTTATATAATACATTGTGAGGAGAAGTAACATGAGTGTTGTGAAAGCAGTTTTAATTACCTCAGTTACCTCAGCCTTGGAATGTATATTTTGTGGGACAATGATTGCAAGAAAAGTAAGAATAAATTTCTGTAATGTATCTAATTAGGTGGTTTAGTAATTTCCTGAATTGGCTAAATTTCCTAAATTTCAAGTTAATATAAAAGTTACTGAAAATATTTTAAATTACAGTAAACTTCTTATATGGTAGAATTGCAGGAAGCTGCTTAATGTAAAAACAAACATTAATAAACGTTTTCTATAACTATTAAAAGCTTATAATCAGAATTTAAAGAACCCTTGATTTAAGAGAAATGCATATTTTACAATTCTTCAAAATAGTGTCGTGCAGAAGAAAACAAGCTTTGGAATCTTGAGATAGAAACTTGGCTCTTCCTCTTTAAGTAGGCATTTAACCCTTTAACTTTAACTGGAAATTTAACCCTTTATCTGTAAAATAGAAGAGCTGCCTCAGCTGTGAGGATCAAAGTACATACCACAGTTGAGGAATTGCTTATATGTGTATTCTCATTTTCTCAGAACCTGATGAGTAACTATTGTCGTTTGGTCCATTTTTCAGATGAAAC